AAACAGAACCTGAAGTTAGTAGAATGAAAGAAATCAAGATCAGAACAGAAATAAATGAAATAGAGACTAAGAAAACACTAGAAAAGATCACTGAAACTAAAAGCTGGTTCTTTGAAAAGATAAACAGAATTGATAAACCTTTAGCCAGACGCAGCAAGAAAAAAAAAGGGAGAGGGCCCAAATCAATAAAATCAGAAATGAAAAAGGAGAAGTTACAACCGACACTACAGAAATACAAAGGATCATAAAAGACTACTATGAACAACTATATGCCAATAAAGTGGACAACCTAGAAGAAATGGACAAATTCTTAGAAAGGTACAATCTCCCAAGGCTGAACCAGGAAGAAATAGAAAATATGAACAGACCAATTGCCAGTACTGAAATTGGATCGGTAATTTTAAAACTCCCAACAAACAAAAGTCCAGAACCAGATGGCTTCACAGGTGAATTCTACCAAACATTTAGAGAAGAATTGACATCTCTCCTTCTGAAACTATTCCAAAAAAGTGCAGAGGAAGGAACCCTTGCAAACTCATTCTGTGAGTTTACCATCACCCTGATACCAAAACCAGACAAAGATATAAGAAAAAAAGAAAATTACAGGCCATTATCACTATGATGAACATAGATGCAAAAATCCTCAACAAAATGCTGGCAAACCAAATCCAACAATACATTAAAAGGATCATACACCATGATCAAGTGGGATTCATCCTAGTGATGCAAGGATTTTTTAATATCTGAAAATCAATTGGTATAATACAACACATTAACAAATTGAAGAATAAAAAGCATATAATCATTTCAGTAGACACAGAAAAATCTTTTGATAAAATTCAACATTCATTTGTGATAAAAACTCTCCAGAAACAGGCACAGAGGGAACCTATTTCAACATAAGTCAATATATGACAAACCCACAGCTAACATTATACTGAATGGTGAAAAGCTGAAAGCATTTCCTCTAAGATCAGAAACAAGATGAGGATGCCCAGTCTCGCCACTCTTATTCAACATAGTTTTGGAAGTCCTACCCACAGCAATCAGAGAAGAAAAAGAAGTAAAAGGAATAGAAAATGGAAAGAAAGACATAAAACTGCCACTGTTTTCAGATGACATGATACTATACATAGAAAATCCTAAAAACACCACCAGAAAACTACTAGAGTTGATGAACGAATTCAGTAAAGTTGCAGGATGCAAAATTAATACACAGAAATCTGATGCATTTCTATACACTAACAGCGAAATAGCAGAAAGAAAAATTAAGGAAACAATCCCATTTATTATCACATCAAAGAGAATAAAATACCTAGGAATAAACCTCCCTAAGGGAGGCAAAAGACCTGTACTCCAAAAACTATTACGGTGCTGATGAAAGAAATTGAAGACAGCATAAACAGATGGAAAAATATATTGTGTTCTGGGATTGGAAGAATCAATATTGTTACAATGATCATACCACCCAAGGCAATCTACAGGTTCAGTGCAATCCCTATCAAAATACCAATGGCATTTTTCACAGAAGTAAAACAAATAATTTTAAAATTTGTATGGAAACACAAAAGAATACTTCTTGAAATAGTCAAACAATCTTGAGAAAGAAGAATGAAGCTGGAGGAATCAGCCTCCCTGACTTCAGACTATATACTACAAAGCTACAGTAATCAAAACAGTAGGCACTGGCACAAAAACAGACCTATAGATCAGTGGAACAAGATTGGTAGCCCAGAAATAAACCCATGCAGTTATGGTCAGTTAATCTATGACAGAGGAGGCAAGAATGTACAGTGGAAAAGGCAGTCTCTTCAATAAATGGTGCTGGGAATACTGGACAGCTACATGTAAAATAATGAAATTAGAACATTCACTAACACCATATACAAAAATAAACTTAAAATGGATTAAAGACCTAAATGCAAGACTGGTTACTATATAACTCCTAGAGAAAAACATAGGCAGAGCACTCTTTGGACATAAATCACAGCAATATTTTTTTTGGATGTCTCCTCAAGTAAAGGAAACAAAAGTAAACAAATGGGATCTAATTAAACTTAAAAGCTTTGGCACAGCAAGGGAAACCACCAACAAAATGAAAAGACAGCCTACTGAATGGGAGAAATATAAACAGCTCATACAACTCAACAGCAGAAAGACAAACAACCTGATTAAAAAATGGGCAGAAGAATTGAATAGACATTTTCCAAAGTGGAAATACAGATGGCCAACAGGCACATGAAAAGATTCTCAGCATCACTAATCATCAGAGAAATGCAAATTGAAACCATAATGTGATACCACCTCACACTTGTCAGAATGGCTATCATTGAAAAGAACACAAATAATATGTGTTGGAGAGGGTGTAGAGAAAAAGGAACCCTCCTACACTGTTGGTGGGAATGTAAATTGGTGCAGCCACTGTGGAAAACAGCATGGAGATTTCTCAAAGAACTAAAAATAAAACTTCCGTATGACTCAGCAGTTCTCCTAGTTATATATCTGAAAAAGCCAAAAACACTAATTTGAAAAGATACATGCTCCTCAGTGTTCACAGCAGTGTTATTTATAATTGCCAAGGTATGGAAGCAACCTAAGTGTCCAGCAATAGATGATGCATAAAGAAGATGTGGTATAGACATACAATGGAATACTACACTACTCAGCCATTAAAAAGAATGAAATTTTGCCATTTACAGCAACGTGGATGGACTTGGAGGGCGTTATGCTAAGTGAAATAAGTCAGACAGAGAAATACAGATATTATATGATTATCACTTATATGTGGAATCTCAGAAATACAGCAAACTAGCAAATATAACGAAAAAGAAGCAGATTCCCAGATATAGAGAACAAACTTGTGGTTACCAGTGGAGAGAGAGACAGGGGAACTATAGGGGTCAGGGAGTGGGAGGTACATACTGTTGGATGTAAGGTAGGCTCAAGGATGTATTGTACAACGTAGGGAATACAGCCGATAGTTTGTAATAACTGTAAATGGAAAGTAAGTTTTAAAAATTGTATAACATTTTTTTAATTAAAAAAATTTAAAAATAAGCTATAAAAAAGGGAAAAAGTAAAGAAAGATTTTAGAACAAAGAAGCTGTAAAGTGCTTGCCTGCAGAGGGAGACGTGATGAGAAGGAAGTCTTTACCCCCCACAGAACCTTAGAGAGTCTTGTGATGTGGAGGCTCCAGGGATCTCTAAAGTCTTAGTTTAGGTGGGGTGTTGAAAACGGAGATTGTTTGCTACGAGTGGTTTAATTTTGCAGGTATTCTACCTTATCTTTTGTCGTCAAGTGACTTTCCTCATTGTCCTGCAGGAGACTAGAGGCTTATTTTCTGGTAGAAATGGATTATGAAAGCTTTGAATTGAGGGGTTCCAGGCATATCAGAAGGTGAAGATGAGGTACAGGGTTGAAAGTAGATTAACTAAGGAAAATGTAGTGTGAAGTCATAAATGTGAAGTTGAGAGGAGTCACCGTCTTTTATGATTCTCCTTTAGCCACATTTAAGCTGCTTAGGGGAATGTATGGAGTAGGTAAACAGTTGGAGTTAACCAGGTTTGAGACTTTCCCAGCTGAGGCTAGAAGGTCAAAGGGATCTAATTCCAGAAGGAAGACCTATGATTTTTGAGACAGTTACATAATATTATTGGACTTGCCTCACACGTTAAAATAGACACACATACTCAGAATTTGAATTTGAATTTATAGGGTTTATTTTATTTGTTTATAAAACTCTTTAATTGGCTAGATATGAGAGGTATTACTTTGACCTCATTCTCATTTTGACCTTGGAATTTCTATCCCATACAGCCCTTTCATACTTCTGATATGATTTAGTCCTTTATTTGATAGATGTTAAGTCTGTTTCTTAGCATCAACAGCACTTCTCATTTAGAGTGTATAGCATGTACATATTTTTTCAGGTTCTCAAGACAGGAAAATCTTTCATCAGTGATTTCCATTCCATATTTTTTATTGTTCTCTGAAAACTTGAATTTCCAGCCTTTTAGAATACTTGCTTATTATTTTAATAAGCACATCATTTTCACATCAGATAGAATTACATTTGTAATAATGTCAGGAAACATATTTTTTTAGTGCCTCAGTTTATCTTTAAAATTAAGTGATGTTTGGATTTCCCTGGTGGTCCAGTGGTTAGGACTTTGCCTTCCAATGCAGGTGGTGCAGGTTCAATCCCTGGTCGGGGAGCTAAGATCCCAGGCCAAAAAAAACTGAAACATTAAGCAGAAGCAATATTGTAACAAATTCAATAAAGACTTTAAAAATGGTCCACATCAAAAACCAAATCTTTAAAAAAAAATTAAGTGATGTTTATTAGATCATGTCTGAGATACTCTCCTGTTTTGAAAATGCTGTGATTGTAGGTTAGATACTTTATACAGATAATATGAGATACTTAGTTTTATTCTGATTAGTTTCAACTGCTAATCCATTACTTCTAAGCACTGGAGGAGGGCTGAAATCATAAGGGACTCCATTTGGAGGAAAAACAGTTGTTTGGCAATAAAAAGTCCCAGCAGGAATCTTTTGAATCTCAATTTAAGAATTCTGTATGTGTAGAAAAAAAAAAATCACACTAACAGAGGCCATTCTTGTGAAGCAGCAATTTTGTTAGCTTTGGATTCTTGGAGGGCCTATTGAAATATAAATAAGTAGTATTTTTATGAATTAACAGAATCATTGGATAGAAAGTGCCTCTGCCTTTGATCTTTCACTTTGTATTACTCATTGAAAATAAGTGTGCAGAAATTCTTAACTGTTCATTGAAATGTTTAAATTTGGGCCTTCTTAGACAATATAATGTGTTTGCTACTGCATTCCATGCTGGCCAGGTCTTTGAATCTGAAGGTATAATTGTAATTTATTGTTTAAGTCCCATAGCTTTTATTTGTCTGGCTATGATAGGTTGATATGAAGAACATCAGGGCTTATTGCTTTAGGAAATGTAATGAGCAATGTGTTTTTTCTTTAGCATCAAACAGAGCATACTGAAACAGCAGGACTGCCTGGCGGTGCAGCAAGCATCATGAGTAAGCACAGAGAAGTCTGTTCCTTATCACGTGTGTAAGGGAAAAAAGGTAAGAAAACCAATGATCTTGTTTCTCTTAAGAGAGATTGAACTTGAGAAAACAGATCTATAGAAAATAATGCTCACGTATATATATGCCGCTTGCTTCATTTATAACATTGTTCCTTATTAAATCAGGAATATTGTTTTTTTAAAAAAAAGATTTGACTTAAGTCCAGAAAAAAAGGATATTTTAAAATTCCTGTTGACTTATGTCAAAATGCTAATTTCTCTACTAGTACTTGGCTTCTCCCTTTTAGAGTCAACTTCTACCTTGAGCATAGAAAGGTAATTTCAGCATGAAAAAGAACATGGACTTGAGCAATATTGTTAGGAGAAAATAGTGGTATATCTACCCAATTAATGTCATTAATATTTCTTAGTCAATCACGCAGGGGCTAAGCAGTGAAATCTTATTTTAGAGTGAGGAATCAGAAATACAGATTCAATTATATTATTTTATTTTGTATGTTTAGACTAGTTGTGATGAGCAGTCATTTCCAGCAGAAAATTGGAAGTATTTTATTAATTCTTGTAGAACAAGACTCCTTAATCATTGACTTTTTCCTGACTAGGAATCTTCTTTGCTTTCTTTCAAGTATTATGATTATTTAAGGGGTAGAAAATGGTGGTGGGAGGGGAGGGTGTGTGAGTGAGATTGGTTTCAGAAATTGATTATGCCATTCACTCATGGAGTGTTGCATGCTCTGCCGAGTTCTCTGATTTTCCACGTAAGCTTTGAGGATAGAGGCCTGGGTCTTACAGTGTGTGGCAAGAGACTGAGTTCCTAAGCACTTAGCCGTAGTACCTTCCTCACCAGAACTTCTGGGCTTGCAGTTGGCAAGGTATTTCTCATCCCCTAGCTTTCTCACATGTGAGTGTGAGAGGGAGTGCCTTTGTCTGCCTTCATCTGGCAAAATCTTATTCTTCAGGCATCTCCTCTTTAGGAAGTTTTCAACCCACTGCAAAGACTATCAGTAATAATAAATAATAATTATTGGAGTATTTGTTACAGTAGCCCACTCTACCCCAAATAATATACTCCTGCCTCAGTCTGATTTGGATTTACTTCTTCTTTGGCTCCGTAGTACCCAGTGCATATATCATTTAGTACATACCACAGTGTTTCATATTTTAAGTTTACTCATCCATCTTCTATGAAACATTGGGCACCTTTAGGTCAAAGACATTGTCTTAGTTGTCACTGTAAAGTAATGACTAAGACAGTATGTGGTACATAGTAGTTGCTCAATAATGTTTTATGTATGAATGCACACATGTTCATTGTAAGTAGTATATGGTATAAAGAGGAAGTAACAGTGAAGGAGATATACAAGGAACAATCAGATAAGTGCTGTAAAAGTGACACCCTTAAGACTGAGATTCAAGACAGTGTCTAAAAGGACTCTGGTCAGTAGAATAAAAAAGAAGAGATTCTCAGGAAGAAACTGTATTGAATTAAGTAATTATATTCCTCTTTGAGATGTACCATTGACCCTTGAACAACGTGCAGGTTAGGGGCACTGACTACTCTGTGCAGTGGAAAATCTGCATATCACTTATAATCAGCCCTGCATATACGTGGTTCTTCCATATCCGAGGTTCTGCATCCATGGATTCAACCAACTGTGCATCATGTAGTACTGTAATATTTACTATGGAAAAAATCCATATATAGATAGACGCATGCAGTTCAAACCCATGTTGTTCAAGGGTCAACGGTATATATATGATATTTAGTGACTTCTATTTTGAATAAGAGTTGCATGCTTCTCTAAGGCAGGTAAAGAATCCTGACATAAGATTTAAATCTTCAGAGAGGGAACTTCCCTGGTGGCACAGTGGATAAGACTCTGTGCTCCCAATGCAGGGGGCCTGGGTTCAATCCCTGTTCAGGGAACTAGATCCTGCATGCATGCTGCAACTAAGAGTTTGCATGCCGCAACTAAGGAACCCACGTGCTGCAACTAAGGAGCCGGCGAGCCACCACTAAGAAGCCTGCAAGCTGCAACTAAGGAGCCTGCCTGCTGCAACTAAGATCCAGTGCAACCAAATGAGTAAATTAAGAAAAAAAAAATTCTTGGAGCGGTCCAACTTTTACAGTGAGAAGACTGCTCCTCTCCCATGTCCTTGGGAGACCACAGGATTTTCTTGGAAAATGAAACTTAAGAGGATCAACACTTGGGGACATTAGACATAACAGATACCAAGGGATGAGGCAGCAAAGTAAAAGCAGGAGGATAAGGGGAAATCCTATATATTAAAGTGAGATCCTTCCCCTCACCCCTTCCTCTACTCTTCTTTCAGACGGTGATTACATCTCTGGTGTTACATCTCTACACCCCCTTACAGGAGATTATAAGACTCTTTTCTGGAGTCCAAAGAAAAGACCTACATATACTGACATTTGGAGGTCTCCCAATGAAATAGCTGTGTTCCCACCCAATCACCATGCAGTGGAAGCCTCCCAGTTGAGAAGCCACACATGCAGAGCTTCCAGTTGGCTTTTAGTACTTCATTTGTTCAATATTAGGCATTTGGGGAAAGCGTCCAGTGTGAAGACAGAGATCAAAACACAAAACAGGAACTTGGAGGAAATAATATTGAAAACAGAAGGAGGTTTGGGGAAAAAGAAAAAAAAACAGACTAAATTATAGGTAATTAGAATGGTAAGAAAAAAATTATATCCATGAAATAAGCTCAAGATGTCATAAAAAGGATCAGAAAGAGAAAGTGCCCTGGAAATTAAAAATATGATAGTTTTTGTGCATTTAATGTTTTTTTAAAAAACTATCTCAAGTTTATAGACAGTTTGCAAGTATAGTACAGAGGTCTTTTTTCTCTGAACCATTTGAGAGTAAGTTGCTAGCTGCATCCCCTACCACCTTTGAAACTGTGTTTCCTACAAAAAAGGACATTCGCCTACATGACCACAATACAGCCATCAAATCAGGGAATGAGCATTGATGCATTACCACCATCTAATTATCAGACCTTATTCAAGTTTTGCCAGATGTACAAATAATGTCCTTTATGTCAAGAGCACCGAGTTTAGAATCACATGTTGCATTTAGTTGGGAGACCAGCCAGTGTTCCATGCAGTTTCAATCCACCCTACCCACTCTGTTTTGGGAGTAAACAAGGGTGTGTACGCTCATCTTGGGCTTCCCACAGCCCCCCTGTTAGTCCCACCAGCCCTCCAACCAGCTAAGGGGACTTGTCTTCCTGGTGTTGGACCCCAGGGCTGGGGCTCCCAATATGTGGCTCAAACCACTCACTCCCCAGGGAGGTTCTCCATCCATGAAATCCCCCTCCTCTTCTGAGTCCCCTCCCAGGGGCATAGGTCCCAACCTGATCACTTTTCTTCCCTTCCTGCCTGATTCCACGTGGATCTTTCTTACAGCCTTGGTTGTATAAAGGTCTTTCTGCCAGTCTCCAGTTAGTTTTCAGTGAGAATTATTCCACATGCAGATGTATTTTTGATGTGTTTGTGTGGGGAGGCAAGTTCCACTGTTCTCCTACTCTACCATCTTGATCTCTCTCTCTTCAATAGACTTTATTTTTTTTAGAGCAGTTTTAGGTTCAGAGAAAAATTGAGCAAAAAGTACAGGGAGTTTCTGTACACCCCCTGTCCCCGCCGCCCCCCAGTCCTCCCACAGTCTCCCCTAGTATGGGCATTGCTGTGTCCTCTTCATTGCAATCTGTCAGGGAGCATGGATTTTTGTTTGTCCTATTACTGATGGTGTTCACTTTGATCACTTGTGTAAGGTGGCATCTGCCAGGATTTGCCTCTGAAGTTACTCTTTTTTTTTTTTTGTAATTAGTAAGTATTTTTGTGGAGAGGAACTTTGAAACTATTTAAATATCCCATTCCTCATCACACTTGGAATTCATTCATTTATGTTGTAAAGACTGATGGCTTTCTGTTTTATCCAGTGGGTTATAATCTGTTGCTACCATTATTTATTTTGATGCTCAAATTGTCTCTGATTTGGTCTGTGGAAGCTCCTTCAAGCTGGCTTCTTTGTCCTTTTGACATGTCCCCATCATTCTTGGACGTTTCCTTTTTTTTTTTTAATTGAAATGTAATTCACACACCATACCATAAAATTCACCCTTTTAAAGTGTATAGTTCAGTGGTTTTTATATATTTATAGAGTCTTGCAATCATCACCACTGTCTAATTCCAGAACATTTTTCACCCCAAAGAGAAATCTTTCATCTGTTAGCAGTTACTCCCCATTTCCCTCCAGTTCCTCCCAGCTGCTGCTGGCAACCCACTAATTTACTTTCTGTTTCTGTGCCTGTTTTGGACATTTCATATAAATGGAATCATGTAATCTGTAGCTTTTTGTGTCTGCTTCTTTCAGTTACCATATTTTCAAGATTCATCCATGATGTAGCATACAGCAGTATTTTATTTTAATTATCATATAATATTATATTTTGTCAATGTATAATGCCACATTTTATTTATCCATTTATCAGTTGATAGATCTTTGTGTCGTTTTCATCTTTTGGTGTTATGAATAATGCTACTATGAGCATTCACGGATAAGTTTTTGTGTGAATATATGTTTTCATTTCTCTTGGGTATAAGCCTAGGAGTGGAATAGCTATGCCATGTGGTAACTTTTCTTAACTTTTTGAGGAACTGCCAAACTGTTTTCCAGGGTTGCCACACCATTTTACTTTCTTCCCAGCAATGTGCGATGGTTCATGTTTCCCTCCATCCTCATCAAAGTTCTTGTATTTTTTCTACTCCAGCTTTGGAATCAGCCATTTTTCCATGGAGCCCTTGTTCCTTTTAGTGAATAACAATATTTATAAATCAAATCTGGTGCTAGGTATGCTCATTGCTACATGGAATTGAGCTGAGGATTTGCTGCTCCAAGATTCTTTGTGTATAGCACTAGAGAATATATGTGTACACACACACACACTTTTACATCTATGTTTATTGCTATGTTCATTGAACACAAAACTATGTTTATTGCTATAAGTATGTTT